AATGCCCCTAGCTCCATATTGTGTATGTATCCATATCATGGCTGTTCATCCTTAACAAATCATGGTATTTGGGTCATTTGAGAAGACTTAGAAGCACAGGTTTAGAGCTGGAAGGAACCTTAAAGTCCATTGGGTCTAACCTTTTCATTTTCCAGATGAACAAAACGAGGTTGATAAAGCTTAATTGACTTGTCCAGGGTCAAACACAGGTCTCCTTAACTCTAAAATCAACACTACCCATTGTACCATCTATCTTCCTCTTCTAACATTTGATGGGGTGCCGTGGTGAAGAGGGATTAGATTTGTTCTTTGTTGTTCTAGAAAGCTGGACTAGTGTAGGTGGATAGTAAAAGTTCCAAGGAGTCAAATTTCAACTATTTTTAAGGAAAACCTTCCAACCCTTAACATTGTCCAACAGTTTCTTCAAGAAGTTGTGAATTCATTGTGCTATAAGAAACACAAAGGGGACTAAACTTGGGAAGACTTGATGACTTGAATGAAATGACACACAGTGAACTGAGCATGGCCAGGAAAACAATTTATACAATAAGAACAACAGTGCAAAAACTTTGAATAACATAAGAACTCCGGGCAACAAAATGATTGACCGTGATTCTAGAGGAATATTTCCTTCCTAAGAAATGATGGACTAAATATGGAGAATTAGACACTTTCTAGAAATGGTCAATATGGAAATTTGTTTTATTTGACTATGCATATTTGTTACAAGAGTTGTTTTTCTTTTTTTCAGGGGTGGATGGGGTAGGTGGTTGGGAAAGAAAATAAATGCCACAGAGAGGATTCCTGTTCAGAAACAGGTAGGATTAGAATCTCTCTGAGGGAACTTCCAACTCTAAAGTTATATGATTTTAATTTCTGAATCACGTGCATTTCACAAGCAGTGTTTGCAGGTCTCTTGGTCTTTCCCAAATTCTTGGGCCTGCACCTACAAACTTGTGGCCTTTTGAGGTCTGGTGGAAACTACATAAGCATGGTGTCAGACATGTAAATTGGGGGGTAATTTTGGAAGAGTTAGGACTTTAATTTTAACTTGGAAAAACACAAAATATCTATGTGACTAGGGTTCCCTTCCCTTCTGTAAGCCTGGGTTTCTTCATTAATAAAACATGGGGGTTGGACTAGGTCATTAAGGTCCAGTACAGGTTCATTCAAATTTTAAGTTCAAGAGAGAGATAAAGTTGAGATACGACAAAGCCCCTGCCATCATGGGGCTTACAGTCTAGTGAGGACATGGCATACATACACAACTAACTAATACAGTAAAGAAGACAAAGTCATCTGCTATCAGTGTAGGGGGTAGGACTGGATTAAGATTTTAAGGAGAGAGGAAAAGGGTTACAATAGTTGTTGTAGGGAATGTGACAGTGAATCTTGGCCATAGCATCAAGGGAGCTACTATATGAGAAAGAGCCTGGGAAAATCAGGAGAGTTTGGGAGGACTGGAGTTAATGATAAAGCTAAAAAGTTGACTAAAAGGATTGCTGAGCAGCTAAGGATTGGAACCCTAAATTAGTAAGGGATACATTCATTCAGTAGCTTCATTTTCTCTAGCAGTGCTCAATACCTTGGGAATGGATGTGGAAAAGTCAGATATGGAAATGTTTCCTAGGGTTGAGAATTAGGAGGGTAGAAGGAATGACCAGTTAAAGGGATAAGTAATTCCAGTATGGTGTCCAGGGAATCATTGAAATAGGTCAAGATTGAGTAGGGAGGTAAGTGAAGCCATAATGTGAGGTGTAGACTGGGACAAGATGGAGGGGTTGAGGAATTGAAAAGCATGATGAGTAAGAGTGGGAGAGGGTAGAAAGAGGAGGTTGGGGGTGGAGAGGGGAATCTGGAATCCAAGATTTAGAGGTGGTGGTGGTAGTGGGTCCCACAGGATAGAGAAGCATGGCCTTGGAAGTCTGACTAAGGTGGGAGTAGAATTAGAAATCACAGGAGTTGAAGCATTTGGAGAACTGTGAGAACAGGGTACATGAATAATGAAGTAGTTGGCAGTACAAATCAGGTAAATTGGGTGTTAATGTCATTGGGGAAGGAGGGAGTGTGTCCTGGAGGTCAGCAGATGATAAACAAGTGGATATGGTGGTATAATCAAATGGCATGAACTTGGATGGAGGGAAGATTGAATTATGGTGGGAGAATTGTGATCTAGAAGGGGCAAAAGGGAGCAAGAGTAACCTGACCCTTCTTCTCCACTCTTAAGTTGTGGGATAGCGAGATCAAGAAAAACCTTTGTCAGAGAAGACTGAGAGATGTGTCCTCAGGGTACAACTCAGATTTCAGTTAATGAGGGGAGAAGGAATATTTGAGGTTTAGGGGTTTGTTTAGAACTGGGGTTCATATAGGAACAATGGAGTAGACTGGAAGAGAGACCCAATTTGGCCAGAGAATAAGCCATGGGAGTGTGGTAGGGCTGTTCTGGATCAGAGGAGCACAGGATAAGAAGGAAGGGTGTGTAACCTGATACTGACTGATGGAGACAGGAGAACTAAGAGGCGGGAGAGTAGACGGAGCAGCATGTTAGCTATCAGGAAGAAGGGAACCAGTGAGGAGAAATGAGCTGACAACATGAATAATTAACAGTTCCCAAGGTTTTAATCAGAATGTTGAGATGGAATATTGGTGTTTTAGAGTGTGGCCTCACAGAAGTTCTTGAGGCCCTTGAGCTTACAGCAAAAGAAAAAAGCTGAAATTGTACTCCCACCAACCTTCCAGATGTTCTCAGGACCTCTGGATAATGGCCTTAGTGCTCCCAGCAAAGGAGGGAACCAAGGAGCTACAGCCCTGCCTTCTTCTATCCACTCCCAGATGTTTTCAGATTCCCTAAGGGAATGAGCTTTGGAATTCCATAATTCTATGAAACAGGGTTAAAATGTCCAATTTCTGCAGTTGTACTCCACTCATTCCACTCTTGGTCCTGTCAGTCGCCTGAATACAAAAATGGGTTTTGGCTCAAATCTCTTCTAATCCCAAATCTCCCAACTAGATTCCATTATTAGTTCTGGACGGCTGCTGAGTTCAGAACATGTCTCCATTCAGCAGAAGTCCTTATTGATCATATCTACTTCTTCCTGGAAGGAGGCAGCTCAGTGATGGTAACCACATTTTAGGTGGGATATTGACCAGCCACCTCCACTAAAGTCTAAAGTCTCACTGTGGTATGAAAGTGATCTCAAAGTCCAAGCTCTGGAGGTCTCACACTAAGCTGCAAAGGCCTTAATTACAGACCTAGTGATGGACTGTTGTCTAAGGATGAGCCCAGCTAACTTCAATCTCGAGGTGGGCTACAAGGTAATGAATTTTTTTTTGGCCATAGCAACTCTCAAAGGCCATCAATTATGTTATGATCTACTAAGGGGCTGCAATCTATATCAGTGGAGGGAGCAACTACACTGATGAAGTACATCCTTGAAGTGTTGAGGGAAGTACAGAGTAGCTGAATTGAGTACTAAAAAGGGTAGTCAGCATGAGGAGAGGGCTTAAAACCATGCCATCTTTTTTTTTTTGGTAAGGCAATTGGGGTTAAGTGACTTGCCCAGGGTCATGCAGCTAGTAAGTATCAAGTATCTGAAGCCAGATTTGAACTCAGGTCCTCCTGACTCCAAGGCCAGAGCTCTATCCACTGCACCACCTAGCTGCCTCAAAACCACGCCATCTTAAAATCAGCTGAAAGAACTGGGAATGGGTGGGCTGGATGGAGAGGTAGGGGGTGGCATGGGGAACATGATGTCTCCCCCCAATCTGAATGGTTATTGTTTGGAGGAGTCATTAGGCTTGTTCTTGATTCTAGAAGCAATGGGTGAAAACTGCACAGAAGCTGATTTCAGCTTAATATATATATATAATAAAAGCAAAAATAAAACTATTTCCTTATAACCAGCTGGTGAAATAGGCTGCTTCAGGAGGTGGTGAGCTCTCAGCACTGAACATCTTCAAACAGCACAGATAATGACATTCTGGAGATTCCTGTGGGGGTCCTTCCTGCTCAAGTAACTTATACCCAGAATTAGTGGGCTGCGGAAGTGTCTTCCAGTTCTGAGACACAATGAGCTTTTCTCCATGGGCTTAGCCCTTCCCAGATAGGGACAAGCTCAGAAATAGCTTCCAGGGAAGGCCTTGTTCCTTCTTTCTAGGCTCCCTGAACTTTACTCACCTGCCCTCAAGGTCTTCTCCTATTCATGTAGGGATGGGGTACTGGGGTGAGCAATAGGAAGGCCTGTACCAGAAGCCCCATCCACACAGGGAATGGTATGACCACTAGGGTAGAAAGGTGTTTCTGGGTTTGGAAGTGCTTAGGAAGACCAAGGTGGCTGACAACATTGGGGCAGAGTCATTTTAAAATCAGATTATATTTAAAAAGCTTAGAAATCTTCCATGTAAAATTAGCAGAGGTATCTTCACCTTCTTTCAGAGGGAGCAGCTCTGGGGTAGCTGCTCCCATTTTCCTTTGCTTCATTATTTTCTTGCCAAGAAGAATAACATTGGGGCCATAGAGGACAGAAAAAAGATGGCTGATGGGGAAATGAAACCCCAAATAAGTAGCAGAGAAGACAGCATGTCACTTAGCTTAAACAGACTACATGCCAGGGAAATAAAAGAACTGGCAGAAAGGAATGTTGAGATGCCATCAGAGATCTCTGGAAGACTGTAGAGAAAAGGGACAGGGCAGCAAGGTGGTGCAGTGCATAGAGTGCCCGGCCTGGAGGCAGGAAAACTCACCTTCCTGTGTTCAAATCCAGCCTCAGATACTTAGTAGCTGAGTGACCCTGAGCAAGTCACTTAACAGTTTGCCTCAGTTTCCTCATCTGTAAAATGAGCTGGAGAAGGAAATGGCAAATCACTCCAGTATTTTTACCAAGAAAACCTCAAATGGCGTTGAACAGTTGGACACAACTGAAAAATGACTTCACAGCAACAAGAAGAGAAAGGGAAAGGATATGCAGCATGAGAAATGACAAATGTTCAGGTTTAAAAAAAAAAAAAGGAAATGAATAGAGCTAGCTAGCCCAATGAATGTGATTTCCTGGTAAAGTTCTAGAACATAACACTAAAGGGATGGTAATGAGAATGCTCCATGGAAAACAGATCATGTCAAACCGACCTCATTTCCTTTTTTGACAGGGCTACTAAATTGGCAGACCAGGGGAATGATACAGATACAATTTACCTAGATTTTTGCTAAGTACTTGACAAAATCTCTCATCTTATTCTTGCAGAAAAGACTGGAGAATGTGGGTCAAATTAGGTGGAGCTGGAGTTGGCTGGGTGGGTAGACCCCAGAAGTAATTATTACTGATTGGTTTGATGCCACCTTAAAGTGGAGTCTTGACTGGAGTATCAGTTAATATTTTTATCAATGATTTAGATGAAGGTATAAATACAATATGCCTACAAAATCTGCAAATGACAAAAATCCAGGACAGATAGCTAACATTTTGGATGAATGAGACAGAATCGAAAACTAACAGGCTAGAACATTGGGCTGAATCAATTTAATAAGATGAGATGTCATATAGATAAATGTAAAGTCTTGTGACTGGGTTCAAAAAATCAGTTTTATAAATGCAAGGTCAGTGGTGTGGCTAGAAGAAATTCATCTGAAAAATATCTGTAGGTTTTGGTGGACTGCAATTCATGAGTCAATAGGGTGGTTTGATGGCTAAAAAGTTAATGTTATCTGAGGCTACATTAAGAGAAGTGTAGTTCTAGGACTAAGGAGGTAATGATCCTGGGTTCCCTGCCCTCATCTGGTTTTGCACCTTGCATTTTAGGGAGGAAGCTGAAGGTGACCATTTGGATGGTGAAGGACCTCAACTGAGATAATGTCACGGGAGGAGCAGATGAAGGGAAGTAGAGATGTTAGCCTGAAGAAGACATAGGGAAGACAGGGCAGATGCCTTAAAGGATTTGGAGGGTTCTTATTTGGAATAAAGATTAGAGTTATTCTGATTAAATCCTGGGAGCAGATTTGGGAGCAATAGATAGAGAAACAGGGAGGAAAATTTAGACTTGATGTCAGGAAAAACTTCTAAACAACTAGAGCTCTTTCCAAAAAAGTGGAATTGGCAGCTTCAGAAGGTAGCATGTTGTCCCTCACTGGAGGTATTCAAGCAAAGGCTGAATGACTACTTGTCAGGGATGCTGTAGATAGGATGGACCAGGATGGACTCTTAAGAGTCCATGTATGCTCCCAGAAATTCCTCTGCTCAGCGACAGCCACGCTTAGAAAGAGGTTCATTCTACATTTAACCTATGACACAACTCAGTTACCTGCTAAATCCTAATGAACTACAAAATGAAATCAGTCTCTCCTTCGAAGGAAACTTCCAGTCTTCTCACTACACTCAAACTCACATAACTAGGCAACCTGGGGCTTATCTCTTCATGAGTGGCTGCCTGCCAACGTCTGCCCACCTAAAGGAAGGCCACTTGTGGCTACTACTCCTGGACAGAAGGAACGGGCTATACTTCCAGGCTGGCTTCCTGTCCTCTGCAGAGGCAGGCAAATTGGGAATTATTAATAGGTAAGGATTACTGAATGCACTGACTATTCTGAGAAGCCGGAAGAGGAAGAGCGTAGCTATGACACCTCTTGTCCTCACATCTATCTCTGCATTGCTCTGCATGTCATCAAAAAATGTGGCCTGGAGGAAGGTGGTATCAGCTACACTGGACCAGCCTCACAGAGGAGGAGATGAGGAAGAGCTACACAGGCCACTGGGCGAAAGGTTGAGGCCCAATCGAGTGGGTTAACTTCTGGACTTGCGGCCTTGATTCATTCAAAACCCAGAAGGTTTCGTTTCCTTAGCATGCCCGCCTCCTCTGCCCCCTCCAATCTGTTTCCCAGCACTGCCTCTCTGGAATACAGGTGTGTTTCTTCCAGCTCTCTGCCATCCAAGGGGAATGCCATGTTCTCTGCTATGATGGCAGGATCGGCCTCTTCGTGCTGACAGCAAGTGCACTCTAACTCCTGGCTTGGAGGCAGGACTCTGTCCTGGTCACTAAAACTGACAGTCTTGTCTTTTGGGGCTTGGCAGTCCTGGCTGACCTCACCCAGGTCAACGGGTAGACTCTCACAGCACAAATGATCCTCCTCTTCCCCTAGCCCCCCCATTCTTTCTGCTATCTCTTCAGCAGAAGCTTGGTTCGAGTCAGGGTAATCCACTAGGATTGTATCTGGCCTTTGCTTGACACAGTCAGAAAGGTCATAAACTGGGTACGTCTCTTCTGGGTAGCCTACACAGAAAAACGGAGAAAAAGGCTTGAGATACCCTTTCAAGAAATGAAACACAGGGTTAAAAGAAAGATTCAGAGAAGGCAGCCATCCTGAAAAATCCTTTCGAGAAGCCTACAGATGATCCTAATGGTTTTGAAGTTTCACTTGGGCAAATGCTCAGCAATTTGGTTGACTGTCCAAATGCTCTCAGAAACACAAACCAATTCAGATAAAAATACCTTCCTGAGCATGGAGAACTAGAAAATGGGTTTATAAATGACTCTGCACTCAGGAAAATATACTTTGGCATCTCTGTTTCAACCCCCCCCCCCCACCCCCCCCCCCCACACAGAGCTTTCTTCTGTAGGACCGAAGAGGAAGATTAAACAAACAGCTAAAACCTTCCACTTGAAGAATTACGCCAAACGCCAGCTGAAGGAGGCACAACTAATGTTTACAGTTTATATTTGGAACCATTTTAAGAGCTTCCTGCCGGGAGAAAAAGACAACACTTTGTGAATCCTACTTAGCAACACAATTGAAATAGTTGGTGAGCATCAGGTACAGAGCAGGACGTGCTTGAGATCCTGGATGCCAAGCACCGTGCTTTCCAAAGACAGAATTCCCATTGTCGATTTCTTTGCCTTCACAAAATAGAACAAAAGAACAGAACAGACCCGGTAAATAAAGTAAGGAATGCAGGAGGTACGGTGCTGAATCCTGGCTCCGATAATGAGAAAAAACAAAAATGTTGCCAAATTAAGGAAAGTAATGAAATAAATCTATGTCAGCCAAGCCCCAGCCCGAGAGGCAGATGGGCCGGGCTGCAGCTCATGTGCCAGGGCTGGCAATGGGCCTCCTGCTTGCTGCACAATGTGAAAAGCTGGAGAATTCAAAATCCATTTGCACATTATTATAATTGGTAAGCTCAACCTTAATGTAAAACATTTTCAGCCCGCACATCCTGACTAGGAGGCCTCTTGCTGGATTCCACTCAGGGCCTGCAGAGGCTTTTTCTTTGCGGACAGGGAACAGAGAATTAGGGGGGAGCTGTTTACCTTCCCAATCCTCCATGTAAGGGGCTTCCTCGGCCTCCTTCTCAGGAGAGGGGCTGTCGAGAAGTTTTCCCTCCTTCATGACCCTGGTAATTTCTCGCAGTTGCTGCAACAGCCGTTTTTCCTGGTCCGAAGTCACGTTCTGTGCCCTGCTCAGAGGGGTCAGACACAACTCAGTTATCTCCTAAATCCCAATAGGCAAGGATTCCCCCACAGCCCAATACAGTGACCTGCCCCTGTCCTAAACAAGGGAGCTCAAAGACAGGAGGGGGTTTGGTTACTGGCCGCAGTGATCACTTAGGTTAGCAAAAGATGTCTTTCTTTCCACAAAAGAACCGAGAAAAGTATCTTAGGTTATCCCTACATGAGTTCCTGGATCCTAAGGTAGAAGTAAGCGAACAAATCCCCGAGATGCTATTCCTGGCTTGTTCCAGAAGCACCCAGGCCTGGCTGCCTTTCTCTCTCTTTCAGTGACTGGAAGGTGATGTCATAGGTAACTGGCCCCTCTTGAAAGTCTGGGCAAGGTCACTTCAGGCGTCCTGCCAATGAATAGTTTATAAAAAAGCATTTAGGTTACTGAGTAGTCTGTCTCAGCCCAGGAAACATTTATGGATTTAAAAAGTGTTGCTCTCTGGTATGGCCATGGGAGGGAGCCCTTCCATTTTATAATCATCTCCCCGATCCTGGCCGCCACATGCTAGTACTCATGGCTAGAACGGGAAAGGATCTTTAAGATGATCGAATTCAGCTCCCTGCATTTTGTCCCAGGTGAAACTGATGCCCGTAGTGAGAGGGTGTCTTCCCTAGGTGGCCTGTGTAATAAGCAGCAGGGCCGCGATTCAAGCCTGGAATTCTGACTCAATGTCCAGCGCTCTTCCTACGACATATAGGACACCGTCCCTCTAATCTGCCATGCCACCTCGGCCTTGCTTGCTTAGCACAGCCCACAAGAATGGAAATGGCATCATGGCTCTGACACGGTCAGGATCTTTTATGATAAGGAAATAAAAGGAGGCAGTAGGGTATAGTGGGAAGTCCAATGGAATTGGGGGGAGGGGCGGGGCAGATCTGGGTTCAAATATTGCTTTATCACTTAGTAGTTGTATCCTTAGGGGCAGCTAGGTGGCTCTGCGGATAGATCATTGGGCTTGGAATCAGGAAGATTTGAGTTCAGAAATCTGGCCTCAGACAATTACCAGCTCTTTTACCTTCGACAAGTCACTTAACTCTTTTTTGCTTCAGTTCCTCATCTGTAAAATGGGGACATACTGGAGAAGGAAATGGCAAAACCACTCCAGGGGTCACGTAGACACTACTGAACAACAGTTATTAAAACTTAAACCAGGAAGAGCCTTGTAGAGGTGAATAGGACTAAAAAGTAAGGCCTTTCTTCTAGCATGATGAAGTGTTCTGGATGAAGCTTAATTTGCCTTGCCTGGGGGGATCAGAGAGCAGATGCCCTCTAAAAGAGGTAGTTAGGGAAGGAGAGAAAAAGAGAGATGAGAGGAGGGGGACCCAGCTCAGAGAGGGGGCATCTGAAAAGCTCCTCTCTCAGGGAGTGTGTGGTAACGGAAGAGGAGGCAGAGCACGAACCTGGAGGAATTCCTGGACCACACAGCAGATCACAGGACTAGGCCTGTAGCAGAGCTGAGGAGCACCAGGGAACAAAGCCACACCGCGGACACAGGTTTTAGGCCACAGGTTACCAAAAAAATGAAGAGACTGAATTAGCCTCTAAGGTTCCTTCCAGGATCATATGTGACTGTTTTTCCTCTCGACATCTCCGAGGTAGCAAAACAAAACAATGTGTGTGTGTGTGTGTGTGTGTGTGTGTGTGTGTGTGTATACACACGCATACACACACATACAGTCATCTTTCCATAAGCCATTTCCATATGACCGGGCGGAAATGGATAACACCACCATAACTCCCATTTCCACAGCATGTCACAAGGTCCTTTCGTCCCAACAATCCTATGAGATATACAAATATTATTATTCCCATTTTACTGTGGAGGAAACTGAAGTTTCAAAGAGGGTAAGTGATATGCCCAAGGTCACACAGCTAAGAAATGGTAAAGCCAGCATCAAACTAAGGTCTCCTGATTCCAAGTTTGGGGCTCTCAGGAATATGCCCTGCTGAATCACTTCAGATTCATGCTGTGAATAATGCAGAGAATTCACAAAGGGGCCCAACCCTGAAAAAAGGCTTCCTTGGTCATTTAAATTCAATTCAACATATATTTATTAAGAATCTACTACATGCGGGACACTGCAGTGGGTGGAGAAGCCTTGCACGGCTTTACTATCTCCAGTTCGGATCAAGTCCTCTGCCACAATGGAAGCCAATTTCCCTAAAATGCCTCACAATTCAAAAACAGCCAAGAGTGTTGTCAATTTCTGCACTCTTGTCAGTTCCCTCCCCATTTTCATTTGGTTTCTAATCAATCAACAAGCACAATGCCAGGTACTAGATGAGGTGATGGGGATACAAAGGCAAAACTAAAACATCTGTCCCCTAATTGTGGGGCGTTTGGATTGGGAGGGGAAGACACACACATGTTCACATGAGTATATGTGCATATATATACTAATATACAAAATAAATACAAGGTAATTTTTTTTTTTGGTGGAAGCACCTAGCATCTGGAAAGGGCATCAGGAAAAGTCCCAGACTGGAGGTGGAATCTGGAACTAGGGATTCTAAGGCGAAGGGAGGAGAAGGTACAGTGTAGACACCCCCTCCTCACATTCTTGGAAAGGCACAGATGAGAAATGAGATGTCAGGAGTAAGGAACTGCAAGACCAGTCTGGCCAGACAAAAAACTGTGAAGGGGTGCAATTGCTAGAGTGATACCCTGTTTATCAGGAGGCCAGACCGTTACCTGTCTGTACCTTCCCTAACACTGGCCTTAACCAGAAGTGCATGGCGAGGCCTGAGAGCTGCTAAAATGGGTGTTATAAAACCCCCATGTTTTGCTCTGCAGATGGGTTCTCCCTTACTCAGAAACACCCCTGCTAACACACGATTCTTTACAAGATTGGTGGTCTAGTTTTCCAGCCAACAGAAAATCAGAAACAGTCAACTAGAAGGGGGAAGGAAGGGCTATCAGAGATACGTAGAAACAATAGCAACAAAAGTCACAGATAAAGATGCCGTGTGAGGGAAGAAAAAGAAGACTCAGCACTCTATTACCACACAGTACAAATAAAGACTCTAAAAATGAATAATTACTCTGAATCGTTAAGAAATGGTTGAATTATATTCAGTATGCTCTGTATAAGAAGAACTTAGATTTCAATAAAAATTGTTAAACATAAAAAGTTGTGTTGTGTTGTTGTTTGCCATTTGGAGAAATCCTGAGAGGCACTGAGAAGACAATGCTAACAAGTGAGAGGTTACTGTTTTGTTAATATGAATGTCTGTTGAGTAGGCACCCACAGGTTGGTGGGCACTGAGCATTCCCGGCTCACCTCAAGTGAAGGAAGGACAAATCCTACTTTCTCTTTTTTTCTTTCTTCCTAAGATTTCTCAGGAGGTCTAGGAGAGGTGCTATATAAAACACCAAGACAGACTCTCTTCTATGAAGTGAAGGGCTGCCACAGGGGATGCAGGGGATGTTATGGACTCAGAGATGAAGAAGCTAGAATTAAACACCAAGAACATTAAGGGAAACCTCTAAAAGGCAAGAGGTCAAGGGGGTAGAGTTCATGCTAGTCAACCCAAACATCTGCTAGGTCGTTTACCTTCAAAAGCAATGCCACACTGCAACAAAAACTTTTTTCTGAATGATCAGTGCTAATGACATTAATGGACAAAATTTTCTCCATCTGCACTCATCTCATGCAAGAAAACGTTCCCTTTCTGAATCAGGTTAGATTCAAACAGGACTCACCAAAAGAAAATGTAACAGTTCTAGCCTCTAGAAATGTGGCCAGTAGCTTCTGAGGTGGTTCATCACTCAGGGACTTGATCTCGTGCATGAAAACTCCTTTGGGCTTCATGATTCACACTTGGGTCGAAAGAACCTTGCAATCAAGTAATCTAAAACAATTTTTATTTTTTTGAGGAGGGTCAGTCATACAATTCAACCAGTTTTGCTTATGGGTCAGATACTCAAATAATCCTTCCATTCATATAAACACTTACTAAATATCTGTCGTGTGTGAGACACTGGGTGAGATACAAAGATAAGTAAAACAGAGACCTTGACCTCAAGCTGCTTACAGACTAGTGAAGGAAAGGAAAAATTCCAGCGTAGCAATGACTCTGGGACTCACTCTTACAGATCAAGGAAGGTTTACTTCTTCCCCTCAGGATTCCAGGGGCTACCCTTGAAGGGTTAGGGGTGTCTGATGCTACTGACTCAAGCCCCCATTCTGGTGTCATCTTCCCACTATTAACTACCAGCTGTTAATGCCTTGGTTTCATGTATCCAGTTAACAGGATTGTTGTGAGGATCAAATGGAATAATAATTGTAAAGTGCTTAGCATAGTGCCTGGTACATAGTAAGCGCTGTATAAATTTTAGCTATTATTATTATTATTATTAACACCAATTAGCTTTTACAAATGGATATTACTTTGAAGATATAATGAGAACAGAAGGACCAACGTTTCCTCACTTTCCACACCCCTAACACCTGGAAGGCACAACTTCCCTTACCAAAGAGGGGGGAACCTGAGGCCTCGAACCCAAGGATTCAGGCAAAGGGCCGCACTCGAGGACTTAGAAGGCCTCATGTGGCCTCGAGGCCGCAGGTTCCCCAACCCTGCCTTATACTCTGTCTTTGGGGAGAGTGGGCTCAGATGCAGCAGAGTTTCTATTTAACATCGGTCCTGTCAGATGCAACATCAGTGTGGTGAATTTGAATCTCAGCCACCCTGGGCTAGGTCCCCAAAGACCCTCCTTGGTCCTTGAGGCTGGACTGATTGACCACTAAGTTCCCCATAGACTCTACTCCCATGCCTGACCTTTCAAAGCTGCCAAGGTCATAGCCACCTCTAGTCTCCATTGGAATGCACACAGCCAGGCAGGAAGGAGTCAGACCAACAGGCCTGGCTCTGGCTGAGCAGAGCCTTTTGAATGCACCTCAGTTTTGATTACACAGTCATTCACGCTCCAAATCTCTCCAAGGTGCATCCCTT